GGCGCAGTTGCTCTGCCCCGGGCTTCCTGGAATCAGTGGCTGATAAGTTTCAGCAGCAGCTGACTTGGGGTTCTTAAGTTCAATCTGTATGTAAGTCAGAACTGGCGGTCAGTTTCAGCAGTGTCTGAATCTGGACGCCAGTTCCGACTTACATACAGATTCAACTTAAGAAGAAACCTACAGTCCCTATCTTGTACGTAACCCGGGGACTGCCTGTAACTGAAATAATGAAATTTACTATTTTAAAAATCCTACGACCATGAGAGTGACTGAAATTTGTTAATCTGTATGTAAGTCAGAACTGGCGGTCAGTTTCAGCAGTGTCTGAATCTGGACGCCAGTTCCGACTTACATACAGATTCAACTTAAGAAGAAACCTACAGTCCCTATCTTGTACGTAACCCGGGGACTGCCTGTAACTGAAATAATGAAATTTACTATTTTAAAAATCCTACGACCATGAGAGTGACTGAAATTTGTTAGGGCTTTATTTATAGAACCATATACAAATTACAGCTAATGTCTAATTCCAGCAAATGATTTTGTGGGTCTTAAAGAAAGCATATATACCTCTGTTCAGTAATAACATATTCCCTTTGATAATTAAAAAAGGTTGCTATTTTAATTTCACTCATAAAATGTGTCCATGTTTTCAGCTAAGTTTGAGGACTTTAGTGACATGTATGGAGAATTTTCCCTTGGACTAATTTGTAAAGATGTTGGGGAAAAGTGAAACTTTTCTGCAAAATTGGCCTCTATAACTAGAATAGTGTGGTCATACAAAAGCTAGCTATGCCTTTTCCTACCTATTTTTACATTGCTATCTACTTGCATGTGCTGCAAACTGTACCATTATTAAAGGTATACCTAAAGTATATTTTTTTGTACATTTATATCACTTTAATTATTCAAAAGTGCACTTTGTTGGAGACCAAAACCTTCCTAAATATTTTTTCTAATTTAACTTCTTTTTTTTTTTCAGTTGTAGAGCACAGTTAATGTACATTTATTCCTATTTTGTGAATTGTCAGAACTCTGCCAATAGTGGAACTTGTTTTTGGAAAAGTAGGGGGGGTTATTCATTCTTCCTCTGCCCCCCCCTCCCCCCGTGCCCTCAGAGAGCATAATATATTAGATTTTTATTAACTTCCACCTAATAGCAGTGCATTATGACAACATCTGCATTCACAAAACTAGAAACTAAAATGCATTGGAGTAGTATTTAATATTTGAAGTATTATTGCACTAATAGGCCTGTTCTGTGATCTGATGCTGTGTGCTGATGACGTGGTTCCTGCTTTGAAGAGCTTGTAGTCAAAAAAAGACAAGTGGAATAAAAAGCTTGGATGAAGAGGGAAATAAAATGCCTACAAATTTTATTTGCATGAAACATTACAGTTGCAAATTGCTAACGGGCCAACTGTCATCAACCCTTACATCTAGCCATCATAAAATAGCTGCTTTCTTTTATATGGGCCACTGGGGTTGCCAGGTGTCCGGTTGTCTACCGGACAGTCTGGTATTGGCACCCTCTGTCTGGTAGAAAAATTCAAAAAATACCGGACATGTGTAATGTCCGGTATTTTCTGAATTTCTGGCTGGGTGCTGGATGGAAGCCTGGCTGGGGAGTGACTGGGAGGTGGGGCCGCGATTGGCGCTGGGAGTCCTGTAGTCTCATGCAAAAGTTGGGCCAGGTGGGGCGGGAGAGGGGGCACCCAGCTTGTGCACACAACCAGAGGCTCCCCGGGCCAATCGCCGCCCCCCCGCCCG